AAAAAAAAAAAGACATGTAGATCAGGAGTTCTTAGTATTTTGCATGTACCCCTTTAAGAATCTGGTGATACCTATGGACCAGTTCTCAGAATAATGTGTTTAAATACATAAATATATATAAAATCATAAAGGAAACCAATTATATCGAAATAGTTATTAAGTGATTTTTTGAAAGTTCATATATCACAGGTTTAGAATACCTGGTGAAGACCTCCTGTGGAATTATGCACTTAGGCTTAGATTTGGATACCTCCCTATCCTGGAGTAGGTTCAAAGGAAGGGAACCTGAAATGTACTGAGACTTAGACCGTGATATCTTCATGTTATACACTGAAAGCAAAAGAAATGGGGCAGTGTGGATATGGTATAATTATTCAGAAGATCAATTAGTGACAAACCTAGAATGTAAAGAGATTTTCTGGCAGAGGGAATGAAGATTCTTGTCATTGGTTAAAGTCAGGGACGTGTAAGAAAGTTCTAACGATCAGCTGAGTATTGAATCAAAGCAGTGGATATCTTGGACTGAGAAAAGGTGGATTAGCAGGCTCTCTGAAGGGTGGAATTACCATGAAAGGTACTACTTCCCCATGAGGGGTAGATTACCATGGCCACAAGGCTTTCCAGGGCCATGTGGAGTAAGAACATAAACTTTTTTTTTTAACCTCTGTCTCTAAGAAGTGACTACTTTGCCAAATGTTTTGAACATTGTTCCAAGCAATACTAGGGCAAGCAGACCCCATTCTGTTCTTGTGGAAGACTGCAGCTCACTGCCTTGTCGTAAGAAGCCTTTGAAGGAGAAGGTATGAGCCTACACATTATTTATTACCATTCTGGATTTGGGACAGAGACAACACTTAGCTGTCTCCAACTCCTGAGCTCTAGAATGGACACAGAATTATTTCCTAATTAAATGAAAAAAAGTAACAGTCTAATAAAGAGTATAATGGAACTGAGTTGTGGTCCTGTGAAAAGTGTTTGCCCCCACTGTGGCACAGAGTAATTCTCCCCAGTCCTCCCCAAGTGAAACCCCTAAATGTATTGTGGAAAACAGGCATTAACATAATGGTGTTTAATTGTTCGTTTCTGGAAACATCAGGAGTTATAGTTATTTATGACTCAGACCTAATTGCTGTGTATGTGGTCTTAACATGATAAGTTCCTCATTGCTAACTAAGTGGCATCGCATGGAAGGCTGCAGTGATTTAAGGAATGCAGTTAAAGTAAGTAGGTAGTAAACCATGTGCCTTTTCAAATGAAATACTGAACGAGGAACTATGTAATTGTAAAGGATGAAGTTAAAGTGAGTTGTTTTTTTTTTTAAACATAATTTTACATGCCTCCTAGTTTGTCAATCTGAGAGAAGACATTACTATCTTCTATGTATCTTCAGTGCTGGATTTTTTCTGGAGTAATTCTTGGAATTGTAAATACGAAAATAAAGTTAGTGTATGTTTTCTTTTAATTTGAATTGAAACAAGGCTTCCTGTTTTTAACATCTAGGAATGTGTCAGACTGACCAGTTAGTGAAGGCAAATCCGTGGGAGACAATAACATTCTCCTACTAGTCTTCTTTTCCTTGTTAGTAGTTTTAAATAGACAACCTCTGACATCTTCCGTCCTGTAGCTGACTGCAATGCAAGTCAAAGGAGGCACAAAGCATGACAGCTGAGCCTTTCTAAGATCTTTTCTGACATTCCTTAATGTTTTTTAACATTTCTTTTCCATAGACCTGTGGCATGAATATAGAATGCTGGTGTCAAGGATGACACCTTCTTTATAGTCTCTGTAAAGCAAACCTTTTTGTAAAAGAAATTTTTGACAGTTCTGTGATTCTAAGTCAATTTCAATTCTAGACTGTATGGAAAATGGGAACTTTTTTTTTTTTCAGTAATTGACATGAAAATTGAAGGCTAGTGACTATTCACTCTCTCTAACAAAATAAAGCAAATAAATGCTATCACATCACCAAAAGAGCTACTAGATGAAAGGTTCTGTTAATGACAATCACCACAACATACACAAGAAACACTCTTCTCTGTATTTTTATTTGCTTGTAGTAGTGGCAAAATGGCCAAAATATGATATTGCTGCTAAATGCATTTTCCCCATAGCTACAAATTCTTTCAATTCAAACAATATTTGTTTACCACCCATTTCGTGCCGTTTTGCTGTTCTTAAACATCTACTTTATCCTTGATGTAGCCAGTGGAGAACCGCCCTTGAAGCAAAGAAGACCCGAGTTCACTTTTACCTCAGACACAAACTGTCTTTGTGACTCATGGCAAATCAGTTAATCTCTCAGTATACCGACTCTTTCAGGCTTTAACATGCAGAGTGGTAGCCCATCTCCATTAGTGTATGGAGTTTCCTTATTTGGGAACTCCCTAAATCAGTAAAATCACTGGTCCAGCCCCTATCCTAATTGCTTCCCTCCCCTACCCCCTCCATAACAATGATAATCTTTTTAAAGAATTCTTTTGTCATAATTGAACATTGAGCTTGTTTTAATTTGACATATCTGTAAAAAACTGACTGAATCGTAAGCGAAGATTTAATCAACTGTATTATCTCTTGTAAAAAGCAAAACTTGAAGTGATAAGCAATCTACAGGAATGCCTAATTTAAAACAAAAATGAAAACAAACAGTCTGTGGTCTTCAGACATGCAAATTCACAGTTAACTCTTGGAGTCACCTTGTATTTCATTTTAAGTTCTCACAGTGGACTTTCTATTGTGTTCCCTTTGTATTGAAGGGGCATCAGTAACAGTGAATGATACCTGTGTTTAGAGCTGGATAGGAGACTGAAGAATGATTGATTTTAAACTCACTACCCCTAATGATTGTTCTTTGACTTGGGGCTGAAGCTACTGTATACTACACATATTGCTGCTCATGTTGCACTGATGTTAAAATTCTCCATACCTTTAGTCTGGATTACTTTAAATATGTGGGAAATAAAGACATAATCCTAAATTATCCCTTTCACTGCTTCTATGCATTTAAAGTCCCAAACTGACGATTTGGTGGAATTTGGGTGAAGCAAGCAGGCAAATGTCCCTTATGTGTTCATTGCCTTTATGTAGGCCTGAATTGGGAGGTCAGTCTATATAGTTGTATACTGGAGAGGTTTGTGCCTTAAGATTCTAAAGTAAAGCTTTCTTACATGATAGAAGATCTTGTTAGGAATTACTTGGGGGAAAATTGAGGCCCCTAAAAGTCATTGCTAAAGTACATTACTAACTTCTACTTTTTGAAAACGTCTCCTCTTGTGCCATCTTCTCCATGTCATCTAACTCGTGAATTTTTTAAGGTTTTCTTTTTTCTACTCCCATAAGGACAAAACCACTTAATGGCAAACAGAGTGGTAGAAGCTTAGCGCTGGAGACCTTGGAACAATGACTTCAGTACCTAGGATTTAAATATACAGAATTATTAAATGAAAATAAATGCATTTCTTTTTTTAATTGATGCTCAGAATTCTATCCCTGAGGAAAATTGCTAGTTAATTTATTTGCCCATGTCCCATCCTAGGACTCAGCAAAGTTTTGAGTCAATCTTAAGCATTCATACTTAATATCATAGAATTTATTGTTAGAGACCTTGGAGATTATCTCACTCAACTTCTTCACATTATAATTGAAGACACTAAAGCCCAGAATGGTCAATAAGTTGCCTAAGGTTACACTTGAAATAAAGGACATATCTGAATATTTTTTCTGTGTTAATTTTCCCAGTTGGCTCCTTCCCATCTGCATTTTTTTTTAATTGCAGGAAAATGGTTTGCCAATCACTTGGGCTACTTCCATGAGACATATTCCTAAGTATAAGAGTCATTTATACCTCTGGGTCATTCTCTTTTGATGGAATCTTCAAAAA